AACTACAATCTTCAAAAATTTAAGCCCCATTCATCTTTTGTCCTCTCCTCAATCCTCCCTATACTTTGTCTTTTCTCTCACTCACTGTAAGCCCTTATGTACTAGTGGCATTCCTACTTTGGAGTGAAATGATTAAATAAAATATATCTCTTTAGGACATGGGCGGTCATGGATCTCCACAACTTCCTATTCTTTGTAGCTCTTAGCAATGTTTGTCTTATTATAATCCCTTTCAGTCCCTGTTCTGTCATCCATAAACTCATTAGATAAATTACTCACAGGTTCCCTCTGTCCCGTCTTCAATATGTCAAATTCTCCAAGCCATCTTTTCAGCACTCATTTATATATGAGAGTGGAGTTACTGAACTTGTTATACTTGTAAAATAACTGTATAAAAACTTTAAGGAAAATAATGATGCAGATATCCCTGTCCTCTTATTTTTTTGTGAGGAGACACGGTGGAGTAATGGATAGCAGCTTGGATTGAGGAATCGGAGAGCCGAGTTTGAATTCCATTCGAATCCATTACATTCACTTACATGCTAATACTCTTGGGAAAGATATAAATCCTCTTCTTCTCCCCCCAGCTACGGGTAAATAGCAGGACAGACTGGGTTCTATAGCCTTGGATGACAACTGGTCTAGGAGAAGGAAAACGCTGAATTCAAACCTGCGGAGGGTGAATGGAGTCTCTCTGAGCCTTGGTTGGTTAATCCATTTAGTGATGGTGTCACGATAAAAACACCCTTGGATAGCACTAGCGAAGCATCAAGAATTCAGCTATTTGACAAGATTATGAACTACACCAATCAAAGTGTTAGCTATGACAGATAAGGAATACTGGAAAGGTGTAGTGAGTTCAATCTCGGCTGAGGCCGCAAGATGATGATTTTTTAAATGTTTCAATGCACACAATTCCACCCTCTCTTTTAGTACCCTGAAATTGTTTCCTTTATTGTTTTTGCAGGTATTATACAGCAACATCAGATGTACTTACATCTGTCAAGAAAATGGAAGATAGTCTCAAGAGACTGAAAAAGGCCCGGGGCACAGGTGTCAGCACTGGCACGTTGGGGATGAGTGATGATGACAAAATTCGTCAACAGCTCATCATAGATATTGAATATTATGGTCAACAGGTAGGAATTTTAACCAAATCACTTGTTTAGACCTACCTAACATGGATTTGATATTTGCTATATGATCCAAACACATCAAAAGAATTACCTTACTAATCATTGATTTGTTATTATTCCATTCTAACAGTGTGCATAACTAACGGTATCCTGAGTAAATTTTTCTTTTCACTCTAAGCAAGGTGATAAAGCCACTAAGATACACAGTGTTACTAAGTATGAAATAAAATGAGATTTATTTTGAAAACAAAAAATGCTGCATTACTTTAATAACAAAATCTTTATTAAATTAAAATATTAATATATGCACAATTATTTCACAATGGACTATCCATTTTGATTGTGAGAAAAGACAAAAGAATAAAAGTGTATCAGAGATGATGTCTGTTTTTGTGAAAAACACCAAAACATACTTAATAAGAAGACAGAAAACAAAAGGGAGGTAACGTCTGCTTCAGTGAAATGGAAAAAAGGAGAGAAGTAGAAAGAAACGAAGGATAAAAGATAGAAAGAAATTGTTTGTATGCTAAAATAGACATTATTTTTGTCTTTTATAACTCTCTGTATCCAATATGTATTTATTATTATTCAAATTCCATCAGTAATTATCCTCCATTAATGAAATATATGTTAGGTGGTCATCAGAATACAAAGAGAAAAGACACCAATAGAATATAAAAGAATAAAAACAATTGTTTTTTTACTAGTTTCTTAATGGTCTTCAGCCAAAATATTTAATGATAGTCGAATTTCCACAGGTATTTTATAGTTGTTGAAATTACAAGAAGCCTATTCATTCATTAAATTAAGAATTATGACTCCTCACAAGATTCAAAACTACGCATTGATCTGTTGTTATTCCATTCTTATAATGTGTCTAACTATTGGTATCCTGAGTAAATTTTTTTTTTTTTTTATCATTTCACCCTAAGCAAGGTGATAAAGCCACTAGAATACACAGTCTTACTAAGTATGAAAGAAATCGTATTCACTCATTAAATTAATGAATTATGACTCCTTGCAAGATTAAAACCATAAAGTTTTTGGAGGTACTACCAGTAAAAGATTAATTCTCATGTTACCCTATTGAATATCCTGTTTTTTAATCAAAAATATATGGCTTTCTTATGATCAGGTGTCAAGTTTCCTTTCCAAAAAATGTTTTTGTTATCTCCCCCTGTGTCGCGTTTGTAAATCCAGCACTTTTCTCAGCTGCACTTTTTCTAATCCAAACCTTTTTTTATTTGCAGGTTGAAACGTTTGGTTTTAGCAGCAGCTCACTTCAGGGATTTTCTCAGCTTCTTGAATTATGCAAAGAAGCCAAGGGTTCGATGAGTCAAACAGCAACCAATCCATCATCTTGAGGTCAGGGGGACAATTTGTAAATAGACAAGGAAAGAAAGACATTTGACATTTAACTAAACATAAGTGGGGGAATATCATCAGGTATATGAATTCGACTGGAATATTTCACTTGAAGGATTGAAGTTGGGGGATAAAGCAGACTTCAACCCGGGGATGTAAACATTTTGGAATAAATGTTTTCTCATACCATTTACAGCATTGTTTTTTGTTTATTCCAATTCATTTCATTCTTCTTCTTTTTTTTCTTTCCTTTTTTTTTTTTTTTTTTTTTTTTTTTCTTTTCTTTTTTTTTTTTTCTTTTTTTTTCATCTTTTTTTCTTCTTTTTTTCTTCTTTTTTTCTTTTATTTTCTTCTTTTATTTTCTTTTTTTATTTTCTTTTTTTTTTTTTTTTTTTTTTTTTTTTTTTTTTTTTTGAAAGTTGAAAATATGTATAATTATTTTCTTCAAAGAAAGCCTTTGTAGAATTAAATGTACAGGATGCGATAGATAAATTGTCATCTAAATGACACTGAAAATGAAAATAATACTGTCATCTCATTTTAACAGATCTATTTATCAAAATTACACAAAAATATCTTGAAATACTAAAGAGTAAATTTATTCTATAAAATCGCCATTGACTTCAACCACAACCTCCAGACAATTTCGGAATCTCCAGCATCTCTTCTGGACAGTCTCCTTGTTTAAGTTGATGAATACTACCATAATACTTGCCTTCAGTTCACAACTACACCCCACACAGCAAGGGGGTTGCAGTTTGGAGAGTTAAATTGCCAGATGTAAGGGGTGATGCGATTGCAGAAATTGTTTGAGAGCTATGACTGGGTCCTTCTGCTTGTATGGCATGGTGCAGAGTGCTTTTGCCAGATATAGGGTCTTCCATCAGCCACCCTCTTGACTCAGAGCAGCACTACCTGCTCACAGCAATTGATGTAGGCCTCAGTGTTGAGTCTGAGGCTCTGATGGAAGATGAATGTAGGCATAACATCACTATTACTAGTGACCACTCCAAACACCATGATGTTCACTGGATGTATCATCTAATCCTTTCCATATCCTCTGCACTGTCGACAGATTGACACCCAAACACTCTGAAATTTTTGTATTGGAGCTTCCGGCATGAATGCCAAGCAGTACAGCATCCTATTTCCAAATTTCTGACAGAGTGAATTACATTATGGTGCTCTTACCAACTGACTCTACTATACTGTGAAGTTGACAAAATCAAAAACATGCAGACACAAAATTAAAAATATAAAATAGCAACAATTTATCCATCACACCCTGTGTGTGTGTGTGTATGTATGTATGTGTATATATATATATATATATATATATATATATATATATATATATATATAAAATCAACTCTCCCGTCGAGATTCGACGTATGAGGGTCAAGCAGATCAGTTTCCAGGAAACCGACAACCCAACACCGGCACATGAGATTTGATTATAGTGGTGAAGGCCACGTGCAGGACCATCCACACTTTTGAAGGGACAAATACAGAGGCCTGGTGCAATCAATGCCACAAGCTTCCCAAACGACCCTCCAACAGGTTTTAAATTCAGAGTTGTCCTTTTCCTAGACCAGTTGCCATCCAAGGCTATAGAACCCAGTCTGTCCTGCTATTTTACCCATAGCTGGAGGGAGGAAGAGGATTCATACCTTTCCCAAGGGTATGTATATATATATATATATATATATATATATATATATATATATATATATATATATATATTGTGTCAGTTGAATACTTGCTATCATTTGGCGTTCTTCCTTTATTAGCAGCTCTCATATTGTATTTATTTCTATGCTATGCGTGCTAAGTAGGTCCTCAAAGCCAAGCATATGCACTAATTCTTTCAGGTGTCTTCCTTTTTTCCAGTCTTTTTCACTTCATTCCACAACGACTGATGACAACCCCTTTCCCTCCATACATTATCAGTCGTCCTGGATTTCATTGTCTTACCTCTCACTATGTTTTTTCGATATTCTTCCAGCCTTGTTTCACCTTTTATTTTCTCTGCCACAACTGCAAGGAATAGAGTACATGCAGTTCTTGGTCATATTCTCCCCCAATTTTGTCGATGCTGATATGTTTGCCGAGTAGTAGTTATTCTGAAGAGTATGTTTGATGCTGATCCTTTCTTGTCTGGGTCACCACTTTTCTCAGTATTGTAGACATTAAACAATCCTTTCTTCACACTGCATAGATGGTGAGATGGCCTAGTGGGTAAAAGCATTGGTTTGGTGACATAGTGGTTGTGAGTTCAATATTTAGATACATTGTACTTATTTTTCTAGTTGAATTGTTTACCTTATTTCATATGATCCATTATTGTACATAATCAGTTTATAATAAAAATTTGTATTTTATATGAATACTACTTTATGAAAATTGAGATGTAGTAGAGTGTGGTGACCTGTATCATAGGTTGGAGGGGGTACGAAATCTTTGCAACAGCCTGAATGCAATGTTTATGTATAAGAAGTCAGTTGAAGTAACTTCGTGCCATGTCAGTTATTTTTCAATTTTAATTTGCTTATTAAGCAAATTAAAATTGAAAAAATAACTGAATTTTTCACTTTCAGATAAGAAGTGTTTAAGCGTCATAATCTAAATTCAGTCTGACATGGCTTGCAGATATGTCTTGGGGAAAGTTTGATAAATTAAATCCTGGACTAACAAAAATAGAAATTATATAGAAAGTACTTTTTTGAAAAGTATATTTTGTTAGTGAGGTAAACATCTAACTGAATCTTAAAAAGAGGAAAAATTGTTTTGGAATGTCATTATGATTCTAAAGAAATCCTGTGACCGTAAGATAATGTTTATTGATAATCATAAACTGGTCATTTATGTGGCACCATGCATAGTTAGCAAGCTGAAAAGAAATATTCATAAATATATGATTTGTTTTTTACGGTTTGTCAACCATTTGATAATTATTTAGAGCTGAAAAATATTTGGGTTTTGAGAATAATTCTTTCTTTACGTTCAAGCGATCTAGAAGAAAGAAAGAAGAAGAGAAAAAAAAGGAGAAAAAAATAATACGAAAACCAGGTCATAAGCGAGCACACACACGCTCGACTGATACATAACAGATGTCAAAAATATCAGGTCAAGCACCTGACCTACTTCCGTGTCCACGAAAAATGGAAGTTTGTTATCAAATGGTTGAAGAAACAAAGTTTAGGGACAATGGAAAAAAATATGATAGGTAACAGGTGGGAAGTGTATCTAAGGATATGAAGACAAACCATTAATACGAAAACACAGGCAATTCCAGAATTGAAAAAAAAGCCACACAAGATGATGTTGGCTGAAAATGTTTTTTTGAGCGAAAGAAAAAGTGAAATATTTTTATTCGTTCACGAAAACGCCACCCAGTCTGAGAAATCCCTTTCTTAGGTCGTATCCAATTAGCGATAAACTGCTTGACAAATACCACGTGTTAAAAAAGCCGAAGGTGTCATCGCAGTCGCTTATGATAAGGGCAATTTAAATTTTTATTTTTTTTAAGCAAGGTGTATCTTCCCCCAGAACAAAGCCACGGATTGTCCACGCCCGACTAAAAACGTCATTGGCCGAAAGCGATCACGTGGCGCACGAAGGAGGAGGAAAGGTACCCGACCAGGACCTCATTGGCCGAGAGCGGTCACGTGACGCACGAGGAGAATCGGTCGACGCCCTTGTCAGAGGTGTAAGTGTGAGGGGCCGATTCGAGGAAGTGGGGACGCGGGTATACGCCCTCAGAGACACAATAAGGAAGTAGGAGTGAAAGTGAATTACCGAAAATGGAAAATCCCTAACCAGAAATAAGAAGGGTGGATACGTATTTAGAATTATCAAGGAAAAACCCTGGCGCCGACAGACCCACCCCAGTTTTTGACTGCGTCAATAAAAGCGGGACCCCAACCGACAGAAATCAGTTTGCGCCGCGGACGGCGGGCCGGATTCGTCCCCCGCCCCTAGCGGGCAGGAGAGGCCAGCTCATTTAGCCGAAGTGAAGCAGCTCGTTTGGCCTAAGTAGAGAAGTTGGAATCAGAGCAAGCTGAAGAGAAGAAGTTAATTCGCGCACTGACGGCGGAGATGAGTGACCAATAATTCAGACTCTGAAGAGAAGGAGATCAGCCGCGGACGGCGAGCGGATTGCAGTTTGAGCCGTGAACGACAAGCAGAGATGAGCGCCCGGTGTTGAAACCGCGTCAAGATAGCTAACTAAGATTCACGCACACTTCTGGACTCTTCTTCAACCAAGAACAAGTAGTTTGAAGAGCGACTTAAAATCAGACCACAGAAATAAGTTTTTTTTTCGAATTTCGTCCAAGGACACGCCGAAACACAAATTTCTTAGAGAGCAGACAATTGGAAGCCTTAAAGTTGCCTAGTAAAAGCGTTGTGCCACAATCCACAGAACGGGTCGGGAGGTAGACATAGTCCTATGTACCGAGCAAATAGACATAAAAGTTTGTTACCTTTTTCTTGATACGTTGGAGCTTGTGAGTTGTTATTTTATTTTTTTTTATTATACATAATTGTGTGATATCACCCCCGTTAGACTCAACTTGCATTACGGCCCCAAGCCCTGTTGATCTCGTCTGTCTAAGATCAAGTCACAACGTGGGTAGGCAGACCGGAGATCAGTGCAGTTACCCTGGTAACCAGGCGTTGGGAACGACAAGGCTGGTATCAATCTAACCAAAGGGTTAGAACGTCACGTTTGGAGCAGCGAGGAGCGAACAGCTGACGCCGCGACATAAGACGTCACAACTGGTGCTGTCCGTGACCAGGATATCAGAGCCTGGGGAGCACGTAACGTCACAATTGGCGCCGCGAACGGGATCGAACGACACAGTCGACGTTGCGACCGGGGGACGACGTCACATTTATCTCTGATGTCAACTCATGAGCATATGGATTTTTTTGTAATTGATAAGGGAATTTAACTTTTCAAATTGTGAAACACATTTGTGTTGTGAATTTGAATGCA